CACGCTGGAACTCTGAGACACCCGGGTGGGAATGGAGATGGTACGGCCATCGTGAAAACCAGGATGGCGTTTCTCAGAAAACTAAATAGAACTGCTGTACAATTCAGCAATCCCATACTGGGTATGTAGTCGAAGAAGGGGATCGACACGTCAAGAGATGTCTGTGCTCCTGTGTTCATGGCAGCACTCTTCACAGTACCCAGAGTGTGGAGCTCACCTAGACGTCCATTAGCAGATAAAAAGGAAATGTGGTGTAGATACAGGATGGGATGCTCTTCAGCCATAAGAGGGCATGAGTCTCAGTCTTTTCCCAGGCTTGGGATAGGTGGTAAGGTACTGTCCTGTGAGGCGGGGTGCCAGCAGCGAGGCACAATCCCCAGTGACTCAGCGGCCCTGAGGGTAAGTAACTGATACCACACAGTGCTCTGTGTTGTCAGTCGTTTAGTCACAGGCATTCAGCATGTTACATGAAGTATTCACAGCTTTTCATAGAAGAGGCTTCGGGTTAGATTATTTTGCTGAGTGGGCTAATGTAACTGCTGAGCACATTTGAGGTAGGGTGGGCTGAGCTGTGGTGTTTGGTATGTTAGGTCTGTTCAAGGCATTTTTTACATCTAAGATATTTTCAGTTTGTGATGGGTTTATAGGAATGTAATCCCTTTGTAAGTCCAGGAGCATCTGTACTGTGAAAACTTACTGTACTGACCTAGAACGCAGAATTAGCATGAAAATGAGGAAAGTGAGTTGCTCCATGTTCCCTACTAGTTCGGCGCCTCTGCTGTATTTTTGTACCACACTCTTGTCTGTTTTTCCTTCCACAGCAAGTGAACTACACAACGTCTTGCAGCCGTTTCTGCTGAGGAGAGTGAAAGCAGAGGTAGCTAAAGAACTTCCCAAGAAGACAGAAGTAGTGATATACCATGGCATGTCAGCATTGCAGAAAAAATACTACAAGGCTATTTTGATGAAAGACCTAGGTATTCAGAGGGCACTTGGTCCATTAAGAAACTAAATGGGGATGTGATTTTTGTGCAGGGAAATATTTTATGATTACACTCACTTTGTGTAGCAAGAATATAAGGTAGAATTTTGTATTCTGAATCACGTGGAACAATAGCAGTGTTAAGTGTAGCTCAGACTTGGTTGTTGCATGATGGAATTTCCCTTTTTCCTCTTCTGTGGTTTTTCTTCTGCCTGCAATATAGCAAACACTTTTAAGTGTCTATTCATGATTTTTATCCTCTATTTGCTTTTTTCTCCCCTCTTAAAACCACAATAGCAGTTAAAGAAGAAATTTTAGAAGTATACAATTGTTTTAACAAAGCACTGCTAAGTTCACCTTGTAGACTTTCTTCTCAAAACAAAGTGATGAGTAAGAAAATCCCATATGGATATGATTTTAATTCTCAATGGAGTTGATTGCCATTTGGGAGATTAGTATAAATTTGAGGGAAATACTATGAAATGAGTAAGGTTAAGTTTGTGTTTTGTTTGTGTTTTGATGTGTTAGTCCCTTTTCCTCTCTATCTTCAAAATTTCAGATGCATTTGAAAATGAGATGGCAAGGAAAGTTAAACTTCAGAATATCTTATCCCAGCTTCGAAAGTGCGTGGATCACCCATATTTGTTTGATGGTGAGCCAGTGTCCTGTTTCCCCCCATTATTTTTCATTAGTAGTTGTGTAACCAAAATCATAGCTGGACTCTTCAACAGAACTGTTGCATTTACTGTGTCTACTCTGCTCATTTTCTCTATATTAATGATATCTAGTGTTAATTATACTGAAGATTTCTTCACATGTCCCGTAATATCCCTTAAGCTGCTTTCCTTTTTCTCTTTTAATGCAGGATCCGTTGCTTTGCCTTGACTCTACTTTTCTACAGTCTAGAAATGTTTCTAAGCTTTTTTGGAGGACAGGGAGCTTTTCTTTCTTTCATGATAGTGACAGTTGTGGAGAGAAAAACTGGCAGCTTTACAGAATGGTCATAATGGGGATTCATCTAACCCTTCTTCAGGATTGGATTTCCTTTTGTCTTGAGCCCCTTGGTCACTACGCCCAGTTCCCCATGTTCTCTGTGATGCCCAGGCATTGTCAGTTCACGATTCGTTAACCTCTCAGATCCCTTGACACAGCAGATGGCTTCCTCCTTGGGACGCTCTTCACTCAGCTTCTGGGGTAGCAGTTCTTCCTGCCTTTCTTCCTGCCTGCATGCTCCTGCTCTGTGCCCTTTGCTCTCTCCTTTCATCCTAGTGACTTCTGTACATGTCCCTCTAAGCACTGCTCTTGTTGCCACAAATTCATGTGTAGTGTTCATTTTCATTCCCATTGGGGTTTTTGGATGCACTCTGATGGGCGATTCTCTGGCCCTGGAATTCCCTAGTGTAGAAAGATTGCAAAAGGCCTGCTGTACTTGTTTTAAGGAGTCTGCCAAGTACCATTAGGAGCTGTTTAAAAGTTTAACAGAACTTTAATCAAGTGCACATTAGAACTTTTTTTTAAGGGAGGAGGGGCATTAGGAACATAGATTTTGAAGGACATCTTCCAGAATATTCTGACTGCCGCTTGTACCTTGAGAATCACTTTTATACACACCTAAGCCTATTTCTTGATTCCTTATCTAGAGTGAGAGCCTTAGAATTTCCTTTGTGGATCTTCTTGATCTCTGGCATCTTCCTTTCCCTCAGTTTCCTAAAGAGTGAGTTTGTTTCTTAGATAGATATTTATTAGACTTTTTGGATGTGCCAGGCTCTGCAGTTGATATTAAGCAAATAATTACAAAATGCCTCGAATAGGTGAGACTGGAGGGCCTACTGCATTAGAAAGAGCTTGGGCTCTCTCTGTTGCCTACCTATTGGGTTTTCTACTCAAGAACTTTGCCCTGACTCAGGACACACGATTAGGATTGGGCTCTCTGCTTTCCAGGTGTGGAGCCAGAGCCTTTCGAAGTTGGAGACCACCTGATTGAGGCTAGTGGGAAACTTCACCTGTTGGATAAGCTGCTGGCATTCCTGCATTCCAGGTAGGAATAGGTTGACATGTGCTGCTCTAGGGAGTGACTGGTTCAAACCTGAGTAATGAAGAACTTACTGATTCTTGAGACTGATTCAAGTTCCCTTTTTTAGAAGCCTGGAATTCAGGGCCTACTTTCTCTGCAACTGTACACCCACTCCATTCTATCTCATCCAACCCCACTCCTCCACCTTGATCCTTTCTTTCCTGAATTCCTATAGCTTTTAGGGTCCTAGTCCAGGACTTGGCAAGCCCTACATTACTCTGCTACCTTGTTGATCAGTGTATGTTCACCTCATCAGTCCAGCTATGTTGGTTGCATCCACAAGGACGCGTCAACATCGAGCATTTCTTTTAAAATTGCCTGCTGCTTCCTTGAGTTGAACTGACACATAATAAAGGTTGAGTAAACATTGGTTCTTGTTAATCTTTGGGATTTGATTTAAACTCAAGGCATAGTTGGGGAATACTCTTTCCCAGAAATGCAAGTTGGGCATCAGAAGATGACATTTGGTTAGTGTTCAGCAGCCTGGTATCCAGCATGTACATATTCATTACCACAGGAAAGGGGGAGTCTAGGAAAAGACCAGAGACTCAAGAATTTCAGAAATGTGCCTTTAGGATGATTGCCCCAGGTGTGGCCTGAACTAACCTAAAACTTCAGATTTGTCAAAATTGCCCAGTCTTTTGCAAATTAAATATTTCATGTCTTGGGGCTGGAGTTGTGGCTCAGTGGTTGAGTGCTTGCCTAGCTAGCACATGCGAGGCCCTGGGTCCAATCCTCAGCACCACACAAAAATAAATAAATAGCTCAGTGACTAAGCACTCGCCTCACATGCGTGAGGCAGGAGATTCGATCTTCAGCACCA